TTAGCTGGGCGTGGTGGCACTCGCCTGTAATCCCAGCTACTTGGGAGGCTGAGGCAGGAGAATCACTTGAACCTGGGAGGCAGAGTTTGCAGTGAGCTGGGATTGCGCCATTGCACTCCAGCCTGGGTGACAGAGTGAGACTCTGTCTTAAAAAACAAAACAAAACAAACAAAAAAACCCCATACATTAGTGCATATCAAGTAAAAATCCTGGAGGTTTGCCCTGGACAACCACCACAAACCCATTCCCCACATTAATACAACATCTCAGAGTCCTGATTGAGATGGAAAATGGGCACCTGGCTGTGGGAAGCTCCTATCTTTTACATATACCTCCTCGCTAACAGGAGAAGGTAACATGATACGTGTTGAGAGCTATGGTCCTGGAATCAAATCCCAACTCTGCTGTATGAACTTAGGCGTGTATTTATTTATTTATTTATTTAGAGATGGAGTCTCACTCTGTCTCCCAGACTGGAGTGCAGTGGCGTGATCTGAGCTCACTGCAACCTCTGTCTCCCAGGTTCAAGCCACCCTCCTGCCTCAGCTTCCCAAGTAGCTGGGATACAGGCGTCCATCACCATGCCCAGCTAATTTTTGTATTTTTAGTAAAGACAGGATTTCGCTGTGTTGTCAAGGCCAGTCTTGAACCCCTGACCTCAAGTGATCCACTCGCCTCAGCCTCCCAAAGTGCTAGGATGACAGGCATGAGCCACCATGCCCAGCTGAATGTAGGCATGTTTTTAAACCTCCAAGTGTTTCTCCATTTGTACATTGAGATGCGACGATAATGGGACCTATGTGTTCTCATAGGATTGTGAAGACTGAGATAATGTAGCAACCATTGACCAATGCTAGCTATTATTTCATCAGAGTGAGGATGGTAAGAAAAAACCTGCTAGAAAATCTTTCTTTTCTTTTGAGACAGAGTCTCCCTCTGTCACCCAGGCTTGACTACAGTGGCAGGATCTCGGCTCACTGCAACCTCCACCTCCCAGGTTCAAGTAATTGTCCCGCCTCAGCCTCCTAGGTAGCTGGGACTATAGGTGTGCAACACCACAACCAGCTAATGTCTTATATTTTTAGTAGTGATGGGGTTTCACTATATTGGCCAGGCTGGTTTCAAATTCCTGGCCTCAAGTGATTCGCACACTTCAGCCTCCCAAAGTGCTGGGATTATAGGCGTGAGCACACCGCACCTGGCCAGGAAGTGTTTCTTACTAAAAGAGACCCAATGTATAAGCCTCCCCATAATTCCACACTTTGAAAAGGTATCATAGGTTGAATATTAAGAACACCCAACCCTACCGAAGTATTCAAATTTGACCTATGTTTACATAAAGCCATGGATTTAAAAGAAACACTATTATCCTTAAAAATGATTTTGTCAAGATAGCTGTTTGGCAGGATTTCTCATTTCACATTCAAATAGAATTACTTATATGTCACTTAACTACATTATGAGAAAGGAGTTATTAGGCAATTTTGTTGTTATGCAAACATAATAGTGTACTTACACAAACCCAGATGGTATAGCCAGCTATACACCTAGGCTGTATGGCACAGTCTATTGCTCCTAGGCTACAAACCTGTACAGCATGTGACTGTACTGAATACCACAGGCAACCGTAACACAGTGTATTTGAGTATCTAAACATAGAAAAGGTAGAGTAAAAATACAGTATAAAAGATCAAAATGGCACACTTACATAGGACACCTAACATTGAATGGAGCTTGCAGGAGTGGAAGTTGCTCTGGGTGAGTCAGTGAATGATGAGTAAATGTGAAGGTTTATGACATCATTACTGTATACTACCGTAGGCTTTTTTTTTTTTTTTTTTTTTGAGACAGAGTTTTGCTCTTGTTGTCCAGGCTGGAGTGCGATGGTATGATCTCGGCTCTTCCCCTGACCCCGGTTCAAGCAATTCTCTTGCTTCAGCCTCCAGAGTAGCTGGGATTATAGGCATGTACCACCACGCCCGGCTACCGGCTAATTTTGTTTTTTGTTTTTGTTTTGAGACGGGAGTCTTGCTCTGTCGCCCAGGCTGTGTAGTGCAGTGGCGCAATCTCAGCTCACTGCAACCTCCACCTCCCGGGTTCAAGCAATTCTCCTGCCTCAGTCTCCCCAGTAGCTGGGACTACAGGCATGTGCCATCATGCCTGGCTAATTTTTGTATTTTTAGTAGAGACAGGGTTTCGCCATGTTGCCCAGGCTGGTCTTGAACTCCTGACCTCAGGTGATCTGCCTGCCTCAGATTCCCAAAGTGCTGGGATTACAAGCATGGGCCATCATTCCTGGCCTAATTTTGTATTTTTAGCAGAGACGAGGTTTCACCATGTTGATTAGGCTGGTCTCAAACTCCTGACCTCAGGTGATCTGCCTGCCTCAGCCTCCCAAAGTGGTGGGTTTACAGGCATGAGCCACTGCGCCCGGCCCCTACTGTAAACTTTATATATACTGTACATGTAGGCTACAGTCAATTTATAAAATACTTTTCTTTATTCAATAGTAAATTAACGTTAGCTTATTGTATCTTAACTTTATACATTTAAATTATTTTTAATTTTTTGACTAATAACACTTGGCTTAAAAAAACATATTGTGCAACTGTACAAAAATATTTTCTTTCTTCATATCCTTATTCTATAAGCTTTTTTTT